GTTGAAATCATTAAAGGGATAAGAAGAAGACCAGAGTCAGTATGATTCGTTTTCTGCTTCTGCAAATATACCGACCTGTCTCCGGTTCAGCATTCAGATCAGTTGAGACAAAGTTGGACGGGAAGAGGCCGACTCCTCTGTGGTTCTCTCCTTTCCACCAGTTTGGATCACTGGGAACAAAACCATGAAACAGGCCTGAGCTTCAGAGAGTGAGTCACACTGGGCGTCTGGCGAAGGTTCACACCGATCAAACTCATCACGATGTAAAACGTTGGATTATATAAAGAATTATTTTCGGCTCTAGGCGTCTGCCACAGCTCTGTTCAAACCATTTTCAATTTGCTTTATTATATCGAGTATTAAAAATCTACGTTAGTGTTCCTGGCGAAGAGTTAGACAGAGAATGTGACAGACGAGCTGGTTCTTGGTCGGACGTGTTAAGAAACTGTACCTGTCGTCCAAAACCAGGATGACTTCTCCAGCTTTGAAGGTCAACTCATTATCTTCAGCCGCTTCAAAGTCGTACAGCGCGCGCACCTTCCGGGCCTCCTGCCCCCCTCCACCATTGGCATAGCTTGGGGGGTCGGAGGTCACAGCCAGGGGGCGTGTCTCCACCTGCTGCTTCTGCTCCTGCAAGGACAACTCGATGGCTGGAGGAGGTCAGGGGGAGCAGAGGAGAAGAGCAAAGGAGAGGAGTCTATTTGTCAGACGTCTAAACACAGGATTCATCACTTTTAATGACCTTTAATATTTTTCAAGAACATAAAAAATTCTCAGAAAACTGATTAAAAGCAGCGTAACAACCTTCTGATGCATGTAAATAATAAATCACACTGCCGCACAGTTTATAAAAGGAAAACTGGCGCTAAACTGAAAGTGTGGCTGGAAAATATGTATCTGTGGTAGAAAGTCACGCTCGGATGAATTTGAAGGTTTGTGTTGTGACATCTCACTTTACCTTTGGCCAGGTCGTCATCATCGGATGGTTTGGTTGCAGCAGGTGTGCTGACCTTTGTGGTCGACCCCTGTGGTAAATAAAGAGAGAGAAGGTCAGGTCTCTGTGTGTGTGTGTACCAGTATGTATACAACATGCAGGGGGGAGAGAGGGAGGGAGGGAGAGAGAGAGAGAGAGAGAAGCACTCAGCGACTACAAGTGAAAAAGAGATTTCCGTTGGCTGTGATGCCGCCTGCAGGCCATGTTAGGAATTACATGTTGGTTGGATCTGTGGCTCAGAAACCTTCCTCACAGTTTTCTCACTATGTTTTATCCAAACAGGCATCACTGTGACATGACACTGAGCTCAGTCGAAAACAAGTCAGTCAACAAGGCTGATGCATATCATTATATAGCAAATCTGAATTTAAGGGGCAGATGAAAGCTGTGATTTAGTGAATATTCTGTCTTTCTGAATCGTCCTCACGCGGGACGATGACACAAAAATCAGTGTTGATGACACTGTGGTTGTAAAATAACCACGGGACTGTGTAGAAGGTCTGGTCTATGGTTTATAGCAAGGAAAGCAATACAGCTGCTCCACTAAACATGCTGGAGATGTGGCTCAAGTTCCTTAAGACCTCAATTGTATTGTGTGTGTGTGTGGTCTGAATGATTAAAGTGAATATGAATCTTAGTATGTCGAGGGAGTATGAAGACAGTTAGAGGGTGGGGCTGTGTAGCGAGACAACTACATGCAACGTGCACCAACAGGCACCAGGAAACTCATTTGACTAACATGAGTTGGTATCATGTTGCCGTATCACACCGGGGGGGAAATAAAGCTGCATCCCATCTAAAAATGACCCGGGAGCTAAAATGTAAATACTAGGAAGCCTTAGCACAGCGTGACACCCAATACCTGCTGCTGTTTATTCAATAGCTCATACAGATTAAATGTCATACCTGCTGCCTCGTGTGGCAGCTGCTCTTCATTAAAGCAGCTTTCTCAATCCCGTGCCCCCCCCCCCCTTATGGATTAATATACAGCTCAGTCACTAGAACAAATTAAATTCCATATTCTTTTCAGTTTCTACTGTAAACACATGGAATTTTATCAGTTTAACTATGAACCTCATTCTTCTCCGCTACACATCCAAACCTGTTCTCCCTGTTATTAACACGTGGAACTTGTTTATTTGCCCTTTGAGAGGGAATCAGAGCTTCTGAGTGTTACTGTGTTTATTATAAATTCACAAGACAGAAAAAAGTATTGTGACATAAAGCAGACACAATATGAGTTTATGATTCACTTATTAATTAGTATTTGTACTCTTTAAATACAGCTGTCGAAAGTGAAGTAACCAACTCAGACTATTCGATGTCTCAAGAAGCAACACCCTCAGTAAACAACACAGAGGTGAAAGGTATCAAATATTTACTGTATAACAGATAACACAGTTAGTGGGTCAGCTGTTTAATGACATGAGGACAAATTCCAACCCAACCCTCTAAACATGAGTCTGACACAAGACACAGACAGATCACAGACATCAGAGAAAGAAGAAGACGACACGATCCAGTTCATTACGATCACAAAGTCCAGGTCCTGGGACAGACACACACATGTTCACCCACAGAATGATGTGAGATATGTGAGGAGGAAATTCCACTGTAAGCTTGTGCAGTTGAAACGGGGACAGACAAGCTCCACACAACCTGAACATTCCCACTGGCAGGACACTGGTCTGCAGTGAAACCACAAAAACAACCTCAGGCGAGACACAAAGGATCCACACACTTATTCTGTTACTGTGTGACAAGGACTGTAACTATAATTAGAGTGTGGAGCGACGGCTGAGGACTTCTGTTGGTGGACAGTTGAGTCAAAGTCCAAAAGTCCCAATATATAAGACACACAGTTAAAAAAGTAGGTGGATATAGGTTCAGGTGTTACGCGTTAAGTTTCTCTTGCCAGCCTCATTGGAAAGAAACCAAGTTTGTGGTGACGGCACTTTAAGCCTTTGAGTATTTAATGAGAAAACAGAAGTTAAATTTGGAATGGATTTTATTTTTGAGAATAATTTGAATAATGGTGTTGATGTGTTATCAACCATTCGTTTTGTTAAAATTAGTTTGGGTCATTCATTAAAATTAAAAGAAAAGTCAAAGAACAAAAACCTTTTTGACCATCGAGAGGTGAAATATTAATTACACTAAATGTCTTATACGTTTATGTTTGAGTGGTTGAGTTGCTGAATAAACGAACAACGACGGCAAGATGGCCTTTGCTTTGTGTTATATTCTATATTATATCAACATACCTGTGAGGATGATGAGGGGAAACTGATGCCGTCATCTTTCAGAGACTTGATGGTGGCTCCGATGAGGCTGAGCTGTGGATCCTTCTGGAAGTTGTCTGCCCACTCCACCATCATGGCCTTTAGCTTTTCACACACCTTCGGATGAGCCTATGAGGGAGCCCGCAAACAAACAGCCGTGTTACTCTGTCCTGTGTTTCGAAGATATTTTTCTGGAACTGTTCATTTTCTTCACAGTGGGAGGAAGTACGCATGTGACGAGATATGGTTGAAAAATTGAAAACAGAGACAATACCCTGCTCAGCACGCTCCGTACTTCAGTGGCAAACTCCCTTGAACATATTTCCAAGTGGAATATTTTGCCACAGTTCGACACACAAGCACCAAGCAACTGCAAGACAAGGTGAAATTGCAAAAATTTGATTAAACAGCTGAAATATGCAATTATTTAATTCCACCAAGGAAAAGGATTATTCCACCACTCATTAGTGAATTATTCAGAGCACATATTAAAAGCTGGTGGAGCTTTTGTAATTATAAATGGTTCCAATGAAATTAGGTCCTCAATTGTCTGAATGAATGAGCACAGGAATCTAAAAATAGCCAAGAGCATGGGACAGTATTCGCTCATGGTGACTCAGACAGAGAAACAGCTCCCAAACTCCTCATCCGAGTTAAATCCCTCAGGAATCAAATGTTACACTTTCACGTACTATGGAAATATTTGCATTACTAACGGAGCTGCATTAAAAATAGTCTTGTGTGGTGCAGCCATGGTACTGTACATTAGCACCTGGACATAAGAGGTGACCCTGGTAGCGTTACTGAGTCAGCTGTTGCTTTATGAAGCACTTTGACGTCTATTTGTTTTGTTGTTACATTATTTTTTTGAAGTAATATTCTCAACCATGACAGAGCGTGAGCACACTCACATTGAGGGCCTGCATGGAAACATGAGGCACTTTGTGATTGATTCTCTTCATGATGGATCTCAAGCTGTCCTTTGGTCTGGAACAGGAGAAAACAAAGGGTTAGTACAAGAACTACAACAGAGCACAGAGACGCTCCTGCACTGGACCTGATAATATGCAAACTCAAAGTCTGATGCAAATGTGCCGTTCTTAAATAAGCAGCTATCTGAACGACAGTGCTGCGCTTGTTATTGAAAATTCTTTTTTTTTTTTTTGCTTACCCATTGGCTGTCGTCCCGATCTTGTCGCAGATGTCCATAATCAGGCCCCAGTCATCTGTTGTGTTGTTTTCATTGGTTGCCTTCTCTGGAAATATGTCAAACAGAAATAAAGCACATATGTTCCTGTGAGAAAATATCTGGCATCGTGGCTGTTTGTCTTCAAACATAATGTGTTCATGGGCAGACACGCCAGTGTTCTGGTAATGAAGAGTGACCATGTTTAAAAACGAGCTCATGTTGTACTGAAGCCCGTCAGCATGACATTGAACCAGCATTTCACAGCTGGGTCACTCCGTGTCAATTCATTACAGTTCACACGTCTTTATGGAATCTTTCATGCTGATCTGGTCACATGAGAAACCTATGGCTCTCAAACTGAATGTGTCCCGAATCCTAACTAAGGACGATAACCAACAACCTCAATATTTTACGGGGAGTCTGTGACTTTAACTCCCATCTCCGTTAATAAACGTCCCAGAGACATAGTTCCTACATCGTTGTAAAGCTCTGATCCAGCTCCAGGTTTATTAAAACTGTATATTTAAGATTTTCCCCAAAGTTAGTTTATTATGTCATGAAGACCTCTAGAAAGTCTGGTCAATGGTTTTTGCATCATTGTCGGGATATTATTACTTTGCTCTGTTTTATTGTGTGAACCTGCAGGAAATACATTAAGTCAAGATGGTTAACAATGCAAATCTTAATGCATTTCAACTCATGATCACTTTATCATGTGCAAAGCTTAACAGCTGCTACGCTTATTCAAATGCACCAGTGCTCTATTCCCTCGATATTTACTTTTGTACTCTTATATCAAGTGTATTTATTTGTGTGCAGGTACTGGAGGTCGTCTTTTTGTAACACGTAAGCATGAAATTATTCAAACACATATTTCGAGCTCATATTAAAATGTCACGAGAGTCTGTTATAGTCAGTTCAGCATCACAGTGGATTATTGTCTGCTCATATAACATGTGTGGTGTTAAAGGGACATAAGGAGTAATGGTCTATAGGAGCAGATAATATTGCAAATGATCATCGTGAATCCTTGAAAACCAGAAAAATAACTTTAAATTGCTTGTTTTCACCTTTAAAACATTCAGATATTCACAGCAACCAAAAAACCCACACAGACATAAACAACACAAATCCACACATTTGATAACTGGGTCTGGACAATTACAGCTTGAATTTTACTTCATCAATTCTCAAAATAGTCTCTGATTCATTTCCTTTCTCCTGACCAGTCAGTTCATCTGCAATTTATGATTCTGTTCATAATCGACTGAGCTGCTGGTGTTTCTCGTGACATGGATTCATCGTTCAGTGACAGTTCACATCTTGGAGGTTCCGATTGATTTAAAACAAATGTTGATTTTGAGGAATGATCTCACTGCCGAACAGATGTGACGTGATTTTGCAGGTCAGCTGATCCTGAACATGAAGCCCAGTCACTGTTTACATGAATCAGCCCAAAAGTTACACGACTCCTGCTCGATCCTGGTCAAATCACCGATCACACACACACCGATCGACAATCAACGACAACTCGTCCGACGGCGAGGGACACGCGAGCGAACCGAGCCTCGCGGATCCACGGATGTTGTTGTGGCGTCAACACTGAACGCACCGAACGCTAAGCTAGGCTAGCGTTAGCTCCCGTCGCTAGCTTCCCCCTCTGACACAGTGAAAAGCACAAAGAAGAAACAGCTTCGCTCACCGACATCTTGGTCGAACGGGTTCTGGGCGAACAAAGGCATGATGAGGACTTGGACACGGAGTCGGACAGTTCGACGAGAGGGAAATGTTTTTGCTGCGCAGACTTTGACGTTTCACCTAAATAAATAATTTCTCTTCCTTGTCCATTAAACTCGCACCAGTTGCTCTTCCGGTAACTCGGCTGCCCTCAGCGATGCCTGAACATAAAAAATCTGTAAAAGACATTTTTTTGTTTTCATCCGTTTTGTGTGTTAAAT